GCATATAAAATCGCACAAAATTTGAACAAAAAATCATTATGAAATTGCACAAGAAGTCGAAAAAAAATCGAACAAAAAATTAAATAGGAAACGCACAGGAAATCGAACAAAAATCAATTTTTTTTTTGATGAAATTGAAGCTAAAAATCGATATGATGCAATTAAACATGCAATTCAATGATTAATGCAATTCGAAAATTAACATGTAATTCGATAATTTTAATGAAAATTTTGAATCAAAAGTAAATTCGATAAACATCACAACATGAAATTCAATAATTTCAACAAAAAATCAAGAAGCTAAAAAGAGGGGAGAGAAATGGACGGAATGAACATACCTCAATAATTGATGGAATTTCTGTACTTGTGAACAAGCTAAGAAGAGGAGAGAGAAATTGTCAAGGTTGAGCCATTAAATTAGACGCCATTGATGAGGTCAGTTTTAAGGACAGAGAATTTAGTTTTAAGAAGAATCAAGTCAGTTTTAAGGAGGTTTATGTAATTGATCTCACCGGGATTTAATAAGATTAATGGCTGAGATTTGTTCTCACATAAGGGATGTGGTCTCACATATAAGGTGGTTCTCACCGGATCCCGACCCTATATATATATATATATATATATAATAAAAAAAATAAAAAAAACAAACTATACCAAACATATTCTAGACTAGTAAAAAATATATATATATATATATAAAATAAAAAAAAAACAAAAAAAAAACAAACTATACCAAACATATTCTAGACTAGCAAAACTTTATTCACGAGTATATTTGTTCAGTGGTATGCTTTGAGCAGCTGAACTATATACAATACAGTACTACGCTAGTAACACTACTACTGTAAAGTCTGTAATAGACAAGGAACACATCTAAACAGCCATAAACCTTTAAAAAAAAATAAAAAAAAATAAATAAATAAAAAAAAAAATTACGGAGTAGCTTTTATTTTAGAAGGGCTTACGAAGAGGTAGTTTATAATATGTTTAAAGAATCCTGCCGTCATGCACTGACTTTGTTAAGATATTTCTCACATGATAGCACATTCAGCTATCAAAACCAAATTTCAACTTGTAATTATTTAATTATTTTATGATGATATGGTTGTAATCCATTTATGTATTTTATTACATTATTCTTGCAACTTAGAAGTAACTTCATAAGTTGAGAAAACTCCGAATAAACTGAGATCCAAACCTCAATTTGTGTGTTTGTGTCATGTGTATCATTATACCAAAGTTTTCAAATAATTCACCATATAATAATATGCTCAATTAATATAATAATATGCTCAATTAATATTTTTTATTTAGTATAGTTGTCAAAATATTTATGCGAGCTAGCTAGTGTAGGCTACTCCATACCGTATGATCATGGCTTCGCTATTGGTGCTTATGAGTTTTGATCCATACCGCATATGCTATATATTCGGACCAATTACCAAAACTTCCAACTTGCTTCAATCATTTCCCCCTTTTTTAATTTCCAACTTGTATCATATCTCCTAGGAACAGAGGATTTCTTGTATTCTTTTTTCTACCCCTCCTCTCTTAACCAACATAAAGATTTCAATTGTCGTCTGTACTTGAGACATTATTTACTCCCGAATTTAAATCTCTAATTATATGTGAGAACTAATACTTTGTACCTTGTACATGTAATTAAGAGAGTATGAATAACAATATACTCGTATAGTAATGTAACTCGTGATGGATTATTCAGATTATTTTGATTAATAATCATTTGTTCAGTTATAAGTTGAGTTTGTGTAAGTTTTAAAACTTGATTAATTAATGAGTATTGTACGTAGATTCGATCAAAACTAAATTAAAGTCTGGATAGTAGGTCGATCATGAAGTCATAAATACACTATGCAAAAAAAAAAAAAAAAAAAAAAAAAAAAAAAAAAAAAAAAAAAAAAAAAAAACAGAACATTCAAGCCACAAATTGAGCTAGGCTAACCTGACTTGACCTTACTAGCTAAATATAACATAAATATGCACTTAATCCAAAACTTGACCTAAACTTGTAGCCAAACTTGGCACAGATTATGAAGGTCACCAAAACCAACCAGAATTAGTGTAAAAACAATTTAAACTTGAATTTTAGGTTGATCGACTTGACTGACATATTTGACAAGTCTAAATTTGGTGATACTTATTGATTTATGTTCATTAGACCAACCATTGATATACTCCGTACAATTTACATTTGTTTTTTTTTAAAAAAAAACCTCATTTCTATTGTTTACAAGTGCCTAAATATACTAATGTAATATAAAGAAAATTGTGATATTAAAGTCGTCTTGAGTGATTGTTTAAAATGTTTAAATACATACATTTATCATAAAAATGTAATAAAACAAAACAATATTTAGAAAAAACGCATACTTATCATTTATAAAATACTATAAAATATTGAATCTCCATTCCTAATTATTTAGAAAATTAAAGTCTCATGCATATATACCTTAATACCTATCATTATTGTTAATAGTATTATTGCTCAACTAAAAGATTGACCTTAAAATGGATTATTACAATATATGGATTGAACATAAATGCATGTGCTAACCCATTTAACTTATTTAATAAACAACATCAAGAAATTTTCAACAATAAAATATTTTCTCGTGTTATGTGACTTATGTCACAGTACAAAGTCAAGTTAGTCTAGACCCTTTGACTTTAATATCATTTAAAGACTTTGCCAATTTCTTACGTTATCATTAAGTTTACACTTTGCTATAACACGTTACTAAACATAATATTAGAGAAAATTAATACGACTTAACAGAGTCAACTAGTGGGAAGTCAGTTGAATTATATAAAACACAATAAAATAGAGCAAAGTTTTTCAGTTTTCATACTACAAATACCAAAAAACCGCGTCAAACTAGAATTGACCCAGTTGATAAACTCTGACTCGTTTACGTTCTCTGACAACTTAGAATTGGATTCTAAAGCTTTCCCATAGCCGCGGACGTTGCTTTCACACTTTTTTTGCCCTTTTGTCCAAATGCATAGGATTGCACTTGATTCCTCCTCATCGTATTTTATATCCGATCGCTTTTTTTTATTTGCCCCATAGAAAGACTGTCAAATTTAGTTCAGTACGTAGAATTGATAAATGAAAAAGTTGATGAGAGTCGTGAGACTAATTGTTAATAATATATGAGTGTAAAGGATTGAGCTAGCTAATAATCATTTAAAGCCAATTTGTTAGATTGAGGCAAACTTATTGTTCTGGGTGTGTTCTGGTCACTTGTATCTGGATTAGTAATGGTTTATCGTCTAATTGGATACTTGCACATTTAACGTAGATAAGCTGCCCTCCGGGTTTGTATGAGGATAATCTCTCTAATGCTAAAGTTAGAAAACTGGATGATATGAGTAAAAAGGGTGGTTTATGTGTGTTTAAATTAAGAAAATCGTACCTTAAAAGTGAAATATGTTTGGGTATTTATAGAAATCCCCAAACTGGTGCCATGTGTCGGTCCACATAGCTATCTTGTCAAGTGGGTGGTGGGTGTCCACGTGGACGCGTGCAGGTTTGGAAATGATCCAGATGTCAAGAACTGACCAGATTTACCTAATTTATATCGGTGTCGATATCATCCCGTACACTTATAAAAAAGAAGAAGTATTACTTCCTCCGTTCCAACAATATTGCAACAACTTGACTTTTGCACTATTAATCACTCTTGTTTGACCATAAAATATAATTTATACGTCAAGCAAAATATAATCGTGTGGGATCTTGTTAGATACGTCTCATAAAATACTTTCAGAATATCAATTTTTTATAATTTTTACTCTTATACAATTATAAATATTTAGCATATAAAATGTGTTTTAGAATGCATAATTTCATAGTTGTTGCAATATTATTGAAACGGAGAAAGTATAATTTACTAACAAAGCGGTACATTGTTCTTATTATTATTGGGTAGGAGAAATTAACCAGGAATATTACATTTTTCACAACATAAAAAAAGGAATCTTTATGATAAGTTTGGCTTGATGTGGAAGTTTTGGTAACCTTCAATTGAATACCCTGACCTCTAAATTAAGTAAAGTTACGTAAGTGGGAAAAGTGATTATGATGATATCTTAATAACTTAAAAGTTTAAGAACATAAATTCAACCGTCCCATCAGAGCATTAGGCACAACAAATAAATAGTCTGCTAGAGAATTGAATATACTAGTTCGTGTATCATTCGCTAGGCTGCTTCAACATGCATTCATTTGATTTGAATTCTTTCACAACGTAACCTTTAAGTTCAAATTAATTTGCCCATTTTCAACTTTATTGTGTACTTACTCATACGTGTAATTCTTAATCATTAGCAGTTGCAATTATAAGTTTTTATGACTATATATGTATAACTTGATTTGATATCTTATTCTTTTCATCTTAAAAACAATAAGTTTTTCAATTAGTTCATGCAATAAATTATGGAACAACAAATTCAATGTACAATCCTAAGCATAGAATTTTGATGAGATTAGGGAGAATAAGTTCTCGATTTAGTAGTATGATATTGTTTTAAAACATACTTGTATTACTTTTGAAACAAAAACCATTAATTTAGCACTAATAAATACTCTTGTAAATTAATTTATTGAACAAAGTAGTTTGTACAATTATTAATGAAAAAGAAATACTCGGTATAATTTAATTAGCAAAAGAGTGTTTAATTCATTTCATATTAGTAGGCAACACATTTTGTTATGTGTCCTATTTTAAATTACATAGAATAAATGATGTATATGTCAAAATTTATATATATCAGTTTTTTTTTTTTTTTAATCCCCGTTTATTCCTTTGTATGAAAATATTGATGTCAAGTAATTGATCGGCTTCACATGCCCAATTCAATTTGCATTTTAGCCTTTTTCTTTTTATTTAACTTGTGCACAAGTATATTAATATCACAAAAATGTGAATTTATAATTAAACACATTATATTTCTTTAAAAATAAAGTTCGAACCACATATACACTTTTCAGAAAGAGTACTACCTACTAAGTAAATTAGAAAAAGAAAGAATAGGAAGAGAGCAATCTTGAAAGGAATTGATGATAAGTTGGTTGAAACCTATAGCAAAGATACACACATCGTTACACAATAACAACCACAAATAGAAAGGCGTGTGATAAATCATGAAGAAAGAGTAGGAGTAAAGTGATAACCATGTTAACCACGTTTCTTTTATTCCCTTTTTACCCCTCTCGACTCACTCTCGCTACTATTCTTGTGCTTCTGCTTGCGCCGTCCGCCGATTTTTCCTTGATTATCACGTGCATCATTCTCCTCACCAAATTAGTTTAACCATTTTCTCTTTTTTTTTTTTTTTTTTTTCCCTTTTTATAATTTAATATCCCAACTCACACCAAATTGGCAAATTCCATTTTCTCTCTCCACCCTTCCTATATATATATAAACCACTTTCTTTCCTCTGTCTCAATAAAACAGAGAAAATTTGTGATTTTTTTTATTAAAACAAAAAAAAAAAAAATCCAATGGAGTGGGTTAGAGGTGAAATTATAGGAAGAGGAAGTTTTGGTACAGTGAATTTAGCAATACCCAAATCAAATTCAACCCAATACGTCGTTAAATCGGCTCAAGTTTCGAATTCTTTCTCGCTAAAAAGCGAGAAAGAAATTCTTTCCGAATTGAGTATTATCAGTCATCCAAACATCGTTCGATGTTTGGGTGATTCTTTAAGTCTTGAGAGTGGTACCCAATACTACAACCTTTTCTTAGAGTACGCTAGTAAAGGAAGTTTAGCTGATCAGCTAAAACTTTCCGGTGGAAAATTCGAACTCTCCGAAGTCAAAAACTACGCTAAATCAATCTTGAAGGGATTGAGTCATCTTCATGAAAGCGGAATTGTTCATTGTGATATAAAGCTTCAAAATATCCTTGTTTTCGAAGACGGTACCGCGAAAATTGCAGATTTTGGATTAGCAAAGAAGGTTTCAAATGAAGTTGGGGGTAATCAATTACGAGGAACACCACTTTACATGTCGCCGGAAATTGTCGCCGGCGGGAAGGTTGAGTCGCCGGCGGATGTTTGGGCACTTGGTTGTGCTGTTGTTGAGATGGTGACGGGTAAACCGGCGTGGGATATTTCGCCGGAAAGTGACGTTAGCGCTTTGCTTTACCGGATTGCGATTGGCGGGGAATCACCGAAGATTCCCGGGAATTTATGCTCTGAAGGAAGAGATTTTATTGAAAAGTGTTTTGTTAAAAATCCCAATGAGAGATGGACGGCTCAGATGTTGTTGGATCATCCATTTGTTTCCGGGTTAAAAGAGGAAGATCAACGGCCTACGGTGTCTCCTAGATGCCCATTTGAGTTCCCGGATTGGCAATCGGGTTCGGGTTCGGACTCGGAATCGGTTTCTTCATTTGGTTTTTCTGAGGAATCATGGTGCCCAACTTGGAGTCCTGTTTCACGTCAATTGGAAGAGCAATTGGTTTCTGATCGGATACCCAATTGGGGTGATTCCAATGATTGGATTATCGTTAGATAATTTTTTTAGTCAACATTTTAGGACTTTTTTAGGTTTAATATTTTGTTAGAACATGAGCCATCGATCATGTTTTTTTATTTGATCGTATGGCAACAAATTCTTTCATTGTTATATTGTACAGTATTCGCTACACTAGTTAATTGAAAGGAAAAAAAAAAAAAAACACTAGAGTTTCATCCCTATATTTTTCCTCGTTTTTTTTTTTCCATGTTTTTAACTTTGAGCAATCACACACAACTCCAATCATTAGCACATTTATAAAAGAGTGATATCAGTAAAATATATTCATTCATACGTCAATATATATTTGATTATTTGTACTTGTATATAATAATGGTTTAATGTCAAAGTGAAACAAAAGAAAATCTCAAAAGATTATAATTCCAAAACTCAAGGTTTTGATATGCTAAACCCAAGTTTGACTTGATACAGTTGTATTTGTGAAATGGACAAGTATAGAAATGAATAATGGGCCAAAACCAACTGTGAATATCTTGCTATTCATAAATAGTGAAATATATACTCCGTATTTAAAAAGTGATATAATAATTAAGTAGGATGAATTGTCAAGGTCATGATCTAGCTCGTGGCTCATGCTTTGCGATGAATTGCGATCACCTTCTCCACACCTTCACTTCACCCCTTTACTGTCACAATCATCCTCTAATCTTTTTCATAACAACCGACGATTTTCTTATTATTAAATATAATTTATATAAATACTGCTTAAAATGTGAAATATTGTCACATAAGAGTTTATTAATATATAGTTCCATCAAATCAAGATTTCAATGATTGTAATTAGCTATTTTATAAATGATTGGTTAGACATAAGAATCTCGTGCTTAAAATTATTTTATTAGTATATAATAAGATTTGAAAATCATAGCTGAATTGATATTAAAACTAATAAGATTTGTCCCATTTGTCAGATTTAAGCTAAAGGAAGGATCAGTATTGTAGTTAAAGCAACTATGTAGTATAAAGTTTTCTAGATGGTTTGGTAACCACTCGGACTCAATGGTATATTCAAATCTTCTTGGTAGATTTGCCTAGGGTATACTAAGATCATCAACGACAATCCCAAATTTAAGTCTTTTAAGTAGTAATCATAAATTAATACAGAGTATTTCTTTATTTATTACTTCATACAAAGTATTACTTTCTTGTTTAAATTAGCATTAAGATTTCATTCTTGTTACGTAAAGTAATCTTATGTAAACTTGCCTAAGGGAGAGATTATTAAATATTCGATAAGTTGTTAGAGTAAATCTTTTAAAACACGTGAATGATTCATGTAAGGAAATTGATATATTTTTATTGTATCATTTGCATTTTGATATTGCTAAGGAAGGTAACTATTAGGAAGACGTTGAATCACTTATCTATTAAATCAAGTAAATAGTTTATATAAACGAATTCATTGTGATATAACAAAGAAATGTAACTAATTGGAATGTGTTAAAGAGTAAGTTTTTTAAATCTTGTGAATAGTTTACACATAGGAATTCATAACTTTATTATAGCAGTAATAGCACCATCCACGTTTTGCTTTGTAAAGAAAGATTGTTTGAAAGATGGTTAGGATTAGCGCCCATTCTTCTCTTTTTAAATCACATGAATAACATTATCATAAAGGAATTCATATATTGATTTATATCGTGCCGTCCACATTTTGATATTGTGGAAGAATGTAACTGTTTGAAAGAAGCTAAGTTAGCACATACATCTCTAAATCACATGTAGGGTTTACATAAAGAAATACAGTTTTTATATTGTATCATTAACATTTGATTGTGCAAAGGAAATTAAGGTAACCCTCAAACTAGCTATATGTTAGTCTGAAATATAATTATAAATAAGTTCATATACGTCTATACGGAGTACTTATATGAAAAAGCCTTACCCTCAGGCCTACTTTGTGGTACGGAATATATATAATTTTTTTTTAATTAAAATAATTGTATATAGAGCTCATGTATTATATAATCTTTAGGCTAGACCTAGGTATCATTGTCAATGCTATGTATACATAACAATTCGGAATTGTAGGACTACACGACTAATAAGAGTAAGTGTTAGTGGTATATAAATCTTAGGGATGTGGACGGCTTAATTGCCAATTTAAGTGGGTCTCTCATGTGAGAAATGGACTTCTAAAGCATCATACACGGTTAATTCTGCAATTTGTGACACCATCACATGCTTCTAACTTTCAATTTTGAGTTCTCTCACATGATTCTGCCCAATTTTCTTACCCTTTCAACATTTTTTAACAAGATGCAACTCTATGGTGTACCAAATAAACAGCACTCTCGTATAATTCCGTGTTCCTATATTTGCTCATTCCAAAATATCTATCCTAATTGTGTGTTGTTTATGAATAAATATTTGAAATAAATATACTTTGTATAACAATCATATGTTTTAGAGTATTAAATGATCGGAGGTTCATTAAGTGGTGGCGATTGATGATGGGTGAGATGATAAAAAAATAAAAATTTTAAAAAAGAAATTTTTTTAAAAAGAAAATAAAAGTTTATGATTTCCACTTATTATTATGGGCAAAATCATCAATAAGGCTATATTATTTATAACTTAGTTTAAGTTATTTAAATTAATTTAATGAAAACATTTGAACATATCTCACATTTTATATTAAAAAGGTCAAAATGAATTGAAGAATACACCCTTTCATATGTGACTTTGATCATTGAATAAAACTTCCTTGCCACAATTGTATACAGTAAACAACAATAAGCTCTAGTTGCCTACACATCCCTAGGTCCTAAAGTCATGAAAGAGTATAAAATAAAATACAAGTGGACTACTATTTGGATAATGTTATTAAAATTGTAAAAATTTATGGCTGTGAGAGACTTTGAGCCCATAATTTAGCTCCTATTCACAAATTATTATGTGATTTTTAAAGATTATTTTTGTTTCACAGTTATTGTAACCTCAATAAAATTTAAGATTTGCATCTCCCTCTTTTTCGTGAATTATAATTAGCCTACAGCATTTTATTTCCAGCGTAATTTATTATAAGTAAAATGGACCATAATCCGGCTTTAGAATAGCAGAATGACAATTTTTCCCACTCAATATGCTATAATGCTCTCATTAACTAACTAATTGGAAAATTTTCAATTGTATGGAGCAAATCATACCAACGTAATACGGTCCAAGATCAGTCCAAGGCTGTGCAACACTTATAATCTAAAGTTCTAAACCACCAATGCATTGATTCAAGTACTTTGTATCGACAATTATAAATTTAGCAATGAAACTAGAAGATTTAATTCATATTAACCACAAACATTAATGAGATACCCTCATTTTATAAAAGAAATTGAATTTGGTCAATGGAATCGTCTAACCCACTCCCTAACTCTAACTCTAACTCTACTCTAATCTACAATATTATTAAACATAATGGGATAACATGCTAACGCCATGTGTCACAATTCCCTCAATATGATTTGGCGCTACATCATCGCTATGTGTCATCACTTTAAAACTCTTTATATGTGTCACCTATCATAATTAATTTTTCCTTAGAATAATGTAACCTCTAAGTAATTGCAAAATAAACTACAATTTAATCTGTAAAAAATTAATCACATAGTAATGGTTGTTGATTCCTTGGATTTCTAACTTTCTAGATTCAATACCAGCTTAGCAATTAGACAGTAACATTTATAAGTATATTACTGCTATTGTACTGCATCTCTCTTTCTATTCCCATATATTTTTTTCCTTTTTTAAATTTTATTTTAACTAATGAAAATGTTTTCAAAATATTATTTAATTTTTGTATTTCAACAAAACTCGAGGCATCCTGCGGGCTATAAACTAGTTATAAATTAAAGCTTGAGTTTGATAATGTAATCAACAGGGCATATTGCCGCCCAATCATCATTCTATAATCTGAACATACATCCTGGCATATACTCCGTACTAGTACCTAAAATGCCAGCTTCTAAGGTGTGGGCAAAGACATTAGATCCAGAGTTACAAGAAATTTTTTTTGTATTTATTTTTCCCTTCCTTCTTTTAATAAATGTTCCACTTTGATTCATGTATTATTTGCGTGCGTGTTATACTTTAACTATATTATTTCATTGATTTAGACATCATAATTCGTGGATGATGAAAGATAAACTCGTAATAGTATTAAGGGGACTTATTATGTTGCTAAACGTGATTTGACACATTGTTGAAAGTTGACTTATTCCATCATAAATAACTTTATTTTACTTTATACTCATTCCATCCCTTTATTTTTGGTCCATATAGATAATGCCACTTTTTTTAATTTTTTGGTTCATTGGTTGGAAGGAATTGATAGCAGAGAAAAGTAGTAATATTAAGTGTAGTGGTTGTGAAGTAAAGGTGTGATCTCTTATATTCCCAACACAATCAAAAGTAGTATGAGACAAACTTATAAAGACGGACTAAAAAAGAATTCAGGACAAACAATAAGAAATAGAGGAATTACAATCATTTTACTTAGTTAATATACTTTCAGTTCTAACTTTGTTGAACACACTATTATAAATTGGAAGAGATCGATAGCACCTAAAACTTGACTGTTATTGGTTAAGAATCTTATAAAATACAGGGAATATTATTTTGCAAGTGTTACAAGTTGCAAACTTGGAACTTACAACCCCATTAAAATCTAATTAAAGAAAAGGATAATGCATGCGATAGTCCATAAACAGCTGCATGCCCAATTTGCTCAAAGATATGAAAATAATAAAAGAGAAAAAAATAATGAATGTTGGTGAAAGCTAAGAAATGAGGTCAGAAATTGACAGAATCAGTTGGGTAGCAGTTAAATTAAGAAAACTAACTAGTTAGTTTCAACTTGAAGAGTGGGTCCCAGCGCCGCAACTTCGAGGGTTAAAGTCCTTTTCTCATGCGATTAATGTTTTTAAATTTGAGAAAACCCTTGCTACTACAGTACTACTCTTTCTTTGCTTCTCAACTTGCTCTGTTTTTTTTCTCCAAATTCTTGTAATTGGATAACAAGATAAGGGGTTGCTTAATCAATAAATTATCTCTTTTTTTTGGGAATATTTCGTCAGGAAGTTATATGTTTCATCAATTTTTGATCATTTTTTCAGCATTACTACCCAAATGCAATGAACATGGGATAATGGTATACGGA